AAGGCGTGGCTATTAAGGACTGAGGCCAAAGCAAAGCAGGCTGAAGGGCTGCTTCATCCCATGGGATTTAGGGCAGACCTGGGCAATTTAGTGAGACCCTGCTACAAAATACAGAGTAAAGTGAGGGGGGTGGGGTACAAAGCCCTTGGATTCAGTCACAGATGCTGCAAAGCCAAATCAGCAGCCACACTAATTCTGATACTCCAAACACATGACCAAATGCCCTACCCAGCAGGACCTGCCTGGGTATTAAAAGCTGTGCCCGGCCACATTCTCCCCAGGGAGGCTCAACTTAGCCCTTCCTGAGAGTGTCTGTCAGCCTGGGACAGCCCTGGAGGAGGGTCTCTCAGGGACAGGCCCCGCTGCCTTTGAGGGGCTGTAAGGCTCAGTGGACTAGGGAATCACACAACAGCTGGCTGCTGTTAGGAGCTGAGAGGGGAAAGAAGAGCGGCACTTGGCTCACCTGGCACACCCAAAGCCTCACAGGTTTCCTTAGGAGGCCCAAGGTAGGTCTTCAAAGATGAGACAAACTAGTCAGATGGAGTTCCAGAGAGAGGTGGCTGAGAGTACAGCTACCTCAAGTGAGGTCTGGGCGAGGGGGGGGGGGGGGCTCTAGAGGTATTCTACGTCCCTATTGCTACGACCCTTTGCTACAGTTCCTCATGTTGTGGTGACCCCCAAATGTGAAATTATCTCATGGCTGCCTTATAACTGTAAGTTTTTCACTATTAGGAATCAAAACATCCGCTATGCAGGACATCTGATACGCATCCCCCAAGGCGAAACATGACCCACAGGTTGAGAACCACTGCTCTAAGCCTTGGTAGGATGCAAAGTTAGAAAGAACAGGGTAGGCGAGATCTTTGTCAGGTGTGACTGAAGAGTTAATAATGGCCACAGTCATCGGTGGGGCATGAACATGGACGAAGCACTGGAGAGTGTTACTTTATTCCATCCGACCTGATGGTATCCCAGTTTTACACAGCAAATGCCCATGACTCAGGCCACACAGCCAGTAAAGGAGAGGCATTATTGGAACCCAAGACAAGCTGATCTTCAGTGCCCCTCACTCTACCTCCAGCTCATTCAACAGAAAGGGAGGCTGGACACGTGGGCCCAGCTTGCATTAGAGGACTGAGTGAGGACTGCAGGCCTTCCAGGCCTGGCTTGTAACCGGGGAGAGACAGCAGAGTAAGAACATAGCAATGAAGGACTCCTGCAGAGGCACCAAGAAGGAAATTCCCAGCATGCACACTGTCCTGGTGCATTCAGCAAGAAGTGAGGGATGGGGAGGGGGGCATGGATGGAAACAGGACATAACAATGCTTCAAGCTCCTGATGTGTCCTGCACTCTGTCTATGACACAAGGCAGCCACAGAGCTCAAAGAAACAAAATGAGTAAGAGCGGGTCTGTCTTATTCACTTGGGGTAGTGTTTTCTGAGCCTAAACATCCCATAGAAGGAGATCATCAATAAATATTGTTGAGAAGGAAGATTGGCAGTTGTGAAGATAGCATTAATAAGGTCCCATTATTGACTAGGAAAATAGAATTGGTCACAGGGGCAGAGGACCTGAGTTCGGTTCCCAGCATCTACACTAGGCGGCTTACCACCATCTGTAACTTCCAGCTCCAGGGGATCCAACACCTTCTGGCCTCCATGAGTACCTGCGTTCACTGCCCTCTCCTGCACACACCCACAGCTGCCACACATACACGATGAAATAAACAAAACCATATTAGTTATTCATAAATGTAAAGAATACTGTAAAGGAAGCAGGTTGATGGCAGAAAAAGAATGAAACTGGCCTGGACACCGCAGAGCAGGGACAGTGAGTGGACATTTCATAAGTCCTCAATGTGGGGCGCTAAATCGAAACAGGCGACTGATTAAAGCCCTGGTTAGTGCTGCCTGCATATTCTGCTTGGTAAAAATTAGATGTCATTAAAGGGAGTGCCTGGAGGTGAAAATGTGCCCTACGAAGGATGGGCAGAAAGTAGGCCCAAAGGATTAAACTCCAGGACTAAAGATATCTGGTCCTGGACCTAGACAGGTGTGAGGACCAGAAAGAACCTGTAGGAACCGGTGATCCCGGGACACTAGAACCAAGGTTTAGTCCTCTATGAGGACCTTTTTGTAGACGTTTAAAAGGAAAAAACATTTTTTGAGGTCTTTCATGTCCAGGGTACATTTTCCCCTAGAAGTTATTTCTGATATTTGAGCACTTAGAAGAGTGAATATACCATATCAAAAAAGCATTTTAATATTTTGAGGCCCACGGGAGGACTCAGCAGGGGTGTTTGCATCTAAGCTCCAAGATCTGGGTTCTCTGTCTCACATGATACAGGGAAAGAGCCAACTACCAGAGGGTTCTGATTCCTTCCACACAGGAGCAGTCACTCACACTTACACACCCACACTCACACCCATACCCACACACTCACACACACAAATTTTTAATTAAAATTTGTCTAAGTATACTTCCTGGCAGCTGGGGAGATAGCTTAGCTCCTGTAGATGTGTTGGTCATCTGCAGTGCCAGCACCCAGGAGGCAGAGACTGGGGGTTTCCGGGGCACACTGGCTCAAGGGACAAGCCAGCACAGTGCACTCTGGGTTCAGCTAGAGGCCCTGCACTATCAAAGAAGCTGGTAAATGAAGTAAAGCCACTGCACTACATATATATGTACACACACACACACACACACACACCCAAGTATACATTAGTGCAAATTTCCCTTGTGCTAAAATTACTTGCTCACCTGTCAGGCTAGTAAACATAGATTTTATATTTATTTATTTATTTATTTATTTATTTATTTATTTATTTATTTATCTATCTATCTATCTGTCTATCTATCTATCTATCTATTTATTTATTTATATTTTAGGACTAACTAGGACTTTGCGAACAATCTAGTTCCTTCACCTCTTATCTCGAATTAAGGTATCTTGGAAACTCTTCTCACAATTTACCACTTGTGTCAGAGAAGTCCTGATGCCTTTCCCTTCTGTGGAAAAGGAGAAGGCAAGTGGAATTCCATTCGTCCTTTCCCTGGGAGCTGTCTCCCAACTTTAAACCATCTTTAAAAACTCTGGCCACATGGGTACAACTCAAAATGAATTGTCCACATACTCTGGAACGGCCATTCCATAAAATGCGAAAATTCTCCGTTTTATAAAACTATTTAAAGCCCAAATTAAAAGGGCCCACCAGGCCCACCAGCTAATTGTTTAAAACTGTGTGTGTAAGTGACTCATGAGCTACAGAGCCTGGAATTTGAAAATCACAAATCTTGATCTTGGAAACAAAAATTAAATTGGGGCCTCCGGAGTTTTGTTTCTTCCCGATCTAAAGCAAATGTTAAGAGCTTCTGATGCTCATCTGCAAAATACAACAGTTTTTCTTTTAATTTCTTTTTTAAAAAATGTGTGTGTATGTGTGTGTGTGTGTGTGTGTGTGTGTGTGTGTGTGTGTGTGTGCGCGCGCGCAAGGGAGGGTCTATGTGCATGTGTGGGTGGGGGCCAGAGGAGGACATAAGACATCCTCTGTCACTCTCCATGGATTTCCTCACTCAAGGTCTATTACCGAACCTAGAGATAGCCCAGCACCCCTCAATTTCCAAAGGGTCTCCAGTCTTCTCTCACTTCCACCAGGTTGGCAAGGGACCTGCCCAACTTTGTTTGCATATGGGATGCTGGCGATTTGAACTCAGGTCCTCAAGCATGCACAGCACTAAGTCAAATCTCCAGTCACCCAAGCTGCTTTTTGCGAGGCTGGGGTAACATCAGAGACAGTTTTGCTCTCTGGCGCTGCCGCTTACTGGAGACCAGCGATACGAAGGCACAGTTCATGAAACTACAAAACTAAAACCCTATCAGGACTTTCGCTGCTTCGTTTTGTGTGTCTCTGCCCTTCTGAAAGGCTCCACCGCTGTTTTCACCGTGATCCATAATCCTGAAAGGACCCCACCTACTCTTCCATCTGCAAAGGGCTCCCTCGACCCCCGACCCCAGCCCTTATCCCCCACCCCGCACACACACAGGGCCATGCCATCCTCTGCATTTCACCCCAAATCCGCCCAGGCCATCAGTTAGCAGGGAAGGTCATGGAAAGCCAATGATGCAAAGAGTGTAAATTGACACAAACTGAACCACTGAGTTGTACAGAAGGGGAAACTGAGGCCCAGATAGTGGCCCTGGCCACAGATAGCTGCAACAGTTCTAACTTGGGTGTTAAAATGTCAGAGATTCCGCACTCCCCAGGCAAGTCCTTAGGAAGGAGCCCTGATTCCTGCCTTTCTGCCTTAACCATCACCCCTGAGATGGGACCTGGTGGGTACCCTGGTTTGGGCGCTCCCACTGAACGGCAAGGGCTGAGATCTTTAACTCCAGGCAGCACCCCTGGAGTCGAGAACTTAAGTAGACACGCATAATTTTTTTTTTTTTTTTCAGTCAACAAGCTAACCACCCTCACGGGGTCCCCATCCCCGCTGACCGAGAAAGAGTAGGGACAGATGAAGGGCTGCCCTTTGAAATCAGTTCTTTTTTTCTACTTGTATCCAGTGAGTCGCGGCCCAGAATCTCTGCCGAGGTAGTGGAGCTGAGGGCTGAGAGTGGTTGAGTCGGGGTGTCTAGAGCAGTGCGCGGCCCAGGTGTGCAGCAGCTGGGCGGCCAGTGCCCTGCCGCGACTCCTCCAAGCTCCAACTTCTCAAACTTCCCTTTCCGGGGGTGCAGGCCCCTCGCGACCGCGCTCGCCTTTCGTGCGCGCACAAAGGGGTCGGACGTCCCCAAGTCCCCTTCAAGTGCACTGTTCTGCTCTTTCGCGAGAGATCTTCCCCGGATCCCCGCGGGCCCGGGACGATTCGGGCCGCTACAAACTTCCCGTTTCCGCCCTCGCGCCGGGTCCCGCGGCCGACTGTCACTTGCTGCCCTAGGAGCTGGAGGAGGAGCGGGGAGCCCTAGCGAAGCCCCAGCGTCGCGCCGGGGCCACTCACTCACCCGACTTGGGAACGTGCGGCGGGATCGTGCTGGCAATGCGCGTCCACAGGACGATGTGCAGCGGCCACAGGCCCCGGAGCAGCCCCCGACCCATGGTGGCTCCCGTCGCTCGTCATAGACCGGCCCCTGGGGCGCCGCGAACCGAGCCTCGGGGACCGCGGGCTGTGCCTGGACTCGTCGCCCTCTCAGGATGCCTGCGCCGCCCGGAGCGCGCCGGGCAGAGGTGCCGGCCAGATGTGGCCGGCGATCCGGGGAGCTTGGAGGCCCGGAGGAGGCCCCCGGCGGCCGAGGAGAGCTGCTCAGGAGGCTGGGGCTCCGTCCCCCGGGCGAGCGTGTGCGCGCGCGGGGGGTGTCGTCGGTCGGTGCGCGCGAGTGACTCACTCATCAACTTTACCCGGGCGCGGGGAGGGAAACAGGAAACTCCTCGCCAACAGCTGGGCAGGACCTCTCGCCGCCGAGAGCCTTCCAGCTCCAGCCCTCTCCGGCTTCCAGCCCTGCTTTCCTCCGGCCTCCAATCAAGGCCGCTGGATCGGCCCTTTCCAGGACTCTGCAAACTTTCGGCTGCCTCCTCACGGCGCTCCCACGCACGCCTCCTCCCCCCCCCCCCCCCCCCCCCCCCCCCCCCCCCCCCGTCCCACCCCAGCCGTGACCCACCTGGAAACTCCTTACACCCCTTTCCTTGACCCCCCCCCAAGCCCCCCCCCCCCCCCAAACACACACACACACACACATCTTCTAGGCATTGCTCCCAGGGGCTTCATAATTCCGTCGAGAGTCCAGAAATGTAGATGCAGAGTCCCGAACACATTGTTTTCCCTAGTAAAATAACGGTAAGCACTGCTTCACCAGAGCTCGCTTTCAGTTTTATGTGCATGCATGCGTGATCACGTTGTAAGGGACTGGTTTTTTTTATTGCGGGGCAAAAACTCAGGGGTTTGTCTCAGACTTTAAAGTGCGTGTTAATTGCACTGGGTTGTGAATTTAGCTAACCTGCAAGTTCTGGTTCAGAAGGTCTGAGCTGGGAGCGTCTGCGTTTACTAATGAGCACCTGGGTAGAGCCTCCCATTGGAAGGACCATTTCCTGGGCGTGGCCTGCTGTATGAAGCCAAATAGTCACCCAAGTGATAGCGGTGGGGCTGGTATTTTCAGGGTGTTGCCTGTAAGGAACCCCGTAGGAGTAAAAGTGACTTTTGTGGGGGGGGGGCGGGGGGGTCTGCTTCCTGCTTTCCAACTATGGCTCTTGGTGAGGAGAGAAAATATTTGGCTGAAGGTAGAAAGGCTAGCACTAGGAAAACAATACACCCATCAAATTTCTCTTCTCCCTGGGATGACCACGTTTTCCAGAGACTATATCTGAGCACATGTGTGTGTACGTCCGTGGAGCACGTGGAGGCCAGAGGCCCACATCCGGTGTCTGCCTCAACCACTCCACCTGGTCTGTTTTTAAGGGCTTTTTTTTTTTTTTTTTTTTATGTGTGAGCATTTTGCCTTCGTGTCTGTCTGTGCACCATGAGTGTGCGCGTTGCAGAAGAGGTTGTAAGAGGACATTAGATCTCGCAGAAGCAGAGTCACAGGAGGCTGCAAGCCACCAAGTCCGGGAGGTAACCGTGCGAATGCCTGGGACTGAATCCGGGTCTCTATGGGATCAGCAAGTGCTCTTAATTGCTGGGCCACCTCTCCAGCCCCTTGCTTTATCTGAGTCTCCCTCTGGAGATGGAAGATTGGCTAGACTGCCGGCCAGCAAGCCCAGACATTTCCCTGTCTCCGCTTAGCCAGCACTGGGGAGCTTCAGCCACATCTGTGCCAGCCTTTTGTTGTTTTGTTTTGTTTTTGGTGTGTGTGTGTGTGTGTGTGTGTTATATATATGTGTGTGTGTGTGTGTGTGTGTGTGTGTGTGTGTGTGTGTGTATGCACATACATGGAAGCCAGAGGGTATCAGGTGTCCTGCTCTATCCCCCTCTGCCTTATTTCTTTGAGACAAGGTCTCTTCACTGAGCCTAAAGCTAGGCTGGTGGCCAGCAAGCCCCAGTGATCCTCCTGTCTCCACCCACAACCCTGGCGTTATGGGCACATGCACGGCAATGCCCGGCTTGTTGTATGGGTGCTGGGACTGACCTCAGGGCCTCATGATTCTGCAGCAAGCACTTTACACACCGCCCCCGCACTGTGCCCTCTCCTACTCTAGCACCCAGCTTTCTATGTAGGTGCTAGAGGTGGGTCTCAGCTGGTGTGGCCAACACTTCATGGACTGACTGAACCATCTCGTCAGTCCCTCTTCTGCAGTTTACTAATGGAACTTCCATTCCCTGTCAGGAATCTGACTAGATAATGAAGTATATGATCAACCTATTTCCAGCCCTCAAAGATAGGTACCTCTCAACAGCCACTGTCTCAGGCTATGGTTGCTGAGATAAAATGTCATGACCAAAGGCAACTTGGTGAGGAAAGATTTCATTTCATTTTATAGTTTGTAGTCTATCATCCAAGGAAGTCAGGGCAGGAACTCAAGCAGGGCAGGAACCTGGAGGCAGGAGCTGAAGCAGAAGCCCCGGAGAAGTGTCACTTACTGGCTTGTTCCCTCTGGCTTACTCAGCGTGCTTTCTTATGTAACCCAGGATCATCTGCCCAGAGGTGACACCACTCCCAGTGGGGGGCCCTCCCACATCAGCCACTACTTGACCTACACACGGATCTGATGGAGGCATTTTTTCAGTTGTGGTTCCCTCTTCTCAGATAACTCTAGTTTGTGTCAAGCTGACAACAAACAAACAACCCAGACAACAGGTTTAAAAGACACTGCTCATACAGTGAATTGTGCCCGAGACAGGTCCTCTGCTAGGTCCACCAGGAACAAGGGCAAAGGGTCCTTCCTCACACCCAGAGCCCAAACGTGACTTTGGCAGGGTAAAGTTGTTAAAACTGGAACTCTGAGTCTTGATTCAGTACCCAAAACTGCCAGTGAGTGTGTATTCCAGGAAAGGGGCAGTTCCTGCCTCTCGAGCATCTGGTGAGGGAAGAGCATGGACAGAAAGGAGGAGGCTGAGGGCTGGTCACCCTTAGGCACGTCAGCACGCGTGCAGCCTTGCAGTTGTCCTAGCATGTTAGCACGAGAGACTGAGCCGAGTTTAAAGTCTGATTCCCCACCTTCCTTCTTGGAAGGTTCCCGGGACACTGCCATGCCTTGAGCATTTGCCTTGGAGGCCGCCCACCCTCAGGCAGGGCCACCCTGGGCCCTTCCGTTCGTTGTCTGAGACCTGCACTGAAGATGTTCTCCAAGTGCAAGCTCTGCCATTATTTCATTTAATAGCGCCACAAAGAAAGTAGAAGGCCAATCCCTGCACCTGGTCTGGAGTCCCCATCTCCACACAGCCCTGCAGGAGCTCCATCTTCTGCTCAGAGCCTGTTCTGCATTCCTGGAGCCTCCACAGATCCCTGACTCCCACTGTGACCTTCTCTGTCCAAGGTGGGCAAGCTCTCCTCACGTCTGAGCAGATCTGTGTAGAGTGGATCTCGAGTCTCCCACTGCTGCTGAAGATGGAGGAGAGCTTGGACTGGCTGGCCAGCAAGCCCCAGACATCCTCTTTCCTCTGCCTCCTCCATGCTGGGCTTTCAGACGCATCTGCATCAGCTTTTTAATTTGTGCGCACGCGTGTGAGTGCGGTACACATGTGGAGGTGCACTTGTGAGCGGCCCCGTGCGCCTGTCTCCAGGCACTTATGCCATTGTCTGTCTGGTTCTCATTACTTGTTTGTTTGAGATGGGGTCTCATGTAGGTCACTGACCTCCAGCTGGCTAGGTGGCTGAGGCTGACTTTGAACTCCGCATCTTCCTGCTTCCGTCTCCCAACTGCTGAGGTTACAGGTGCTCATCCACCATGTCTGATAACTTTTACAGCACTTATGTCTAGAGTCCATGAAGATTTCTCAGGACTTGATTCCCGACCCCATTCCCCTCTCAACAACAAAGTTCTTGAGGGCAGGCACTATCTCCCTTCCTTTCCTTACTGCTCAATCCCTGCACTAAGCACATCTCAGGTGTGCGGTCGGGCGCATGTCAGCCAAGTGAGCACACGACATAACAAAGACTCAGATGACACGTGACCTCGGGGATCTGGTTGTTTCGTAATTCTGCGGGAAGCATTGTGTAACCTGACAGAGGTCTGAACAGATGCGCTTTCTGCAGGGCCCTGTCAGTGCTACTTCCCTTTCCTGAGAAAGGGGAAGTGAACCCCCTCCTCTCTGTCCTCTTCATTTTCCCTAGCTTTGTCCAAGTTGCCCAACCATGACAAATGTACTGTCTTCTCCATGTGCGCTGAGACAAGTATAGATCCAAACCAGCCCAAGGGACCTGGAGAGACACAGGGCAGTCTGTGTCCTTGCAATCAGGAAAGCCTGAGCTGGATCCCAGAAACCGCATGAATGAAGCCAGGCCTGGTGGCACCTACTGGTCTGTAATCCCAACTCTAGGAGGAAAAGGAGCCAGATGGACCCTTGGGGATTGCTGGCTGTCCAAGCTAGCCTACCTGGTAAGTCTCAGGCCAGTAAGTGGAAGAAATTGTCTTAAGGGGGGGGGGGCAAAACAATGCACACACACTCGAGAGAGAGACACACACAGACAGAGAGAGAGAGAGAAAGAAAGAGCTTAGTAGAGTCTCTCTCTTCCCCCCAATCCTTTCTGCCAAGGGATTGAACTCAGGTCAAGCTCCCCCACCCACTGACCCCACTGACTCTCCCAACCACTGAGCCACCTTGCTTATATTCCACCTATTTTCCACTTTTGCCCCATCCTGACAAGGAATATATTAAGGTCTTCATTTACTTTTGGGGGATCATAAAACATTCTTTTCTGCCTTAGATGTCCACCCTGCATCCCATATTGTGTACTCAGAGGGAAAACGGCTGCATCTGTTTTTTCAGTCCATCCTCTTGTTTGCCCTTCTTCTAAGAAGCTAATAGGCTGCAGTTATGCATGTTTGCATAAAGTATTAGCATATTCTTTTTTGAAAATCATAACGCTCTACAAACACGATGTGTGTTAATTGTAGGAAAATGGGAACTGCAGATAAGCCTTCCAGAAAAATTAAAGAGAAGCCTAGCCCTGACCTCACAGATAATCATAGCTAACATTTGTGAGCAAGTGCTAGCCTAACCTTCCCTTTACAGATGAAGAATTTGGGGATTAGTGAGCTTAAGTGCTTGGCAAAGGTCACACAGCCAGTAGGACAGAGCTTCCAGGTCCAGTCTGAGCCTTTCTAGCTCTGGAGGCTGTGCCCTGTAAAGATTTAGTCAGAGAGTGCAGGAAAAGCCACCCAAAGTCCATGGCTTTGGTTTACCCCTCACTGAGTGCACGATA